CATATAATTGTAAGGAGAATATCTAAGTTAAACTTCACCAAAAAAAATATTTGTATGATGCATGTAAACAAAAAAATAAGGAAAATCGTCACCACACCTAATTAAGGAAGTTCCACAAATAGATAATTGGAGAACCACACATGGATTTTTTAAACCCATTAATAATATGAGTCTAGGAGGTAAGCTGTATGATTTAGTGATTATAAATGATACACCATATTCACATGGGTTAAATTTTTAGAAAATAAAAGTTAATCATTTAATGCATTTAAGATATTATGAATTTGGATTCAATGAAAATAATTCTCACTAGTAGTCACATTAGAAGCCATTAGAGTCTTATTAGGTCACTCATATTTTAGATGCTTTGAGTTGTACCAAATGGATGTGAAGAGTGTGTTCTTAAATGAAGTCACAAAGGAAGATATATATATATATATATATATATATGTGTGTGTGTGTGTGTGTGTGTGTGTGTGTAGAGAAACCAACTAGGTTTAAGAGTACAATAATTTCTAATCATGTTTATAAATTAAAAAAGCATTTTATTTTTTAAAATAAGCACCTTGAGCATGGTAAGATAGGCATAGCACATTCTTGATAGAGTAGTCATTTGTTAAGGGCATATTAGAAACCATATTGTTCATCAAAAGAATAGGAACATATATCTTTATAGTCTAAATCTATGTAAATGACATCTTATTTGAATCCATAAATAATGAAATGTGTGAAGAATTTTCATGTACAATGATAAATGAATTTGATATCAGTATGATGAGTAAGATGACTTATTTTTATGGCAAAATATTAGATAAAGAATTGATGGAACCTTCCTTATCCAAACTAGGCATAACAAAGAAATCATTAGGAAATTTTATATGAAGTACAAACACCCCCATAAGCCTGACTACCCAGTGAGATAAGGACCAAAGTGGAAACTTGTTTACTAGAAAAAGTATAGAGAAATGATCGAATCATTACTATATCAAAATACCATTAAGCCCAATATCATATTTTGTGTATACTTGTGTGCTAAGTTTTAGGCTGAGCCTAAAGAATCCCATTTAGGTGCAAAAAAAAAAATAATTCTATAATATCTCATAGGGACACCCAATTTAGTTATCTCGTGCCCTAGGAATAGTATAATGTTTAAATTAGTAGGATACTCAGACTCAGATTTTGCAAGTTGTAAGATAGATGGAAAGAGCACACCTTGAGCATGTCGATTTATTGGACAATCTTTAGTTTCTTGGTCTAGTGGAAAATAAAAATTTAGTAGCTTGATCTACTATAGAGGCAAACTATATAGTTGCAAAGAGTTGTGTTGTCCAAGCCTTAAGGCTAAAGCAACAACTTCTTAATTTTGGTTCGCAAGTGGATATCATCCCTATCATATGTGATAACACTAGTGTGATATATATTACAAAAAACTAAATTCAACATTAACACACCAAACACATTAACATTAAGCACCATTTCATTAGAGGCCATTTGTCAAAAGGAATTGTAGATATTCAATTTATTGACACATAAAATTAATTAGTAGACATATTTCTGAAACCACTTCACTATGAGAGGTTTAGCTTACTTCAGACAAAATTAAGATTATTTGATTTAAGTGCCAAGGCCATTGTATTAGGATAGGTTGCGTTTGTATATTTTATGTGATGTATGTTTTATCATTTGTGTCTTTGTGTTTTTGTTATGTGAATGTTTTGTTTATATGTTTGTGCTTTATTTCTTTTTTATTTAGAAAGATCCTAATCCTTAACCCTAAATAAAATGTTTTTCCCTTCATACTCTAGGAACCACACTTGTATTGTATGATACGAGTAAGATAGGATGATCCCCATGCATAATTATTATAACATTAACTATTTAGAATGAACTATTAAAAGTATTTTCATTTTATAATACATTATTTATACTCTACAACACGTATAGGATTTTGTGTCACTAGATCAAAATTACTCAATTAACTGCTATAGATGAAATAAGAAAAAGTCTTTGTGTTGTATAATACAAATTCGTACATAATGGTATGACTGGTCAACGATAGTTTAGGATAAACATCAGGATGATAAAAAGGTAAAGATCTTGTTGTATGATCCTGATCATGCTAATCAATTTGTCCTGGTTAATTGTATGATGATTGATTGGATGATTTGGGTTGTTCTGATCATACGGTATGAGTCATAATAAGATTATAAAATCTAATAAAGATTATAAGTAAGGGAAGAATTCTTCAAACTCTTAGTGTGAAATAATTTTTCTCATCTTTATGGAAAACAAAAGAGGATGTATGGTGCCATAACCCAACCCAATATGACCCACCAATATAAGTGGTCATATTATGTTGGATGGTGATAGACTAAGCCCAATATCTATAATTTGGAGACTTTGTAGATTTTTTTAATTTCATATCGACTACAGTGCTACTAATTAACTTTAAACTTAATAGAAAGTAAACTCATCCACAATTTCAATTTCTTTCATTCATCTTCAATATATATATATATATATATATACAATAAAATCTATACATTACAATGTATGGATACAAACCAAAATAGCGCAAATAAATAAATAGCAATGATTGTACAAAATTCTATAATTTAGAAAGTACCTAAACCATCTCAAACAAATCAGAACTTGCTACCTTAGCTACTCAACTAGCTTTTTACTCTTTCCATGAACTCAAGTAGAATGCAGAATAGGTGAGCAGCCAATTAATACAACTTAGTGGGTTACACCCATTGATCTAAATAATCAATAATTAACTTATTAGGCAATTAATTATTTATAAGAAGTTAATAATAAATTTATTATGCTTAGTAGATTATTTTTCATTTTAGCAGACCTGGTTAGAACAACTACAACAACACAATGCTTAGGTGGGTATTACATGTGGTCAGTATCTCTCGACAAGAAAGAGATGAAAGATTCATCATATATGAGGATGTTGAAGCCTACATAAAATATAAAGTAGCATCCAATACAAATATTAATGTGGTGAATCAAGAAAAAATATCCTATCAAGTATTCAATCTGCTTGTTAGCACCACACTTTAGTTTTTTATTTCACCAGCCTTTTCCTACCACACTGAGGTACTTCAAAATTTTTTTACAAATCTTAGAATTAGCGTTGGTAGGACCACTATACAGTCTTTAATTTGTAGGCATCAAGTAGTAATCACTAAAATAGACATGTATGAACACTTGCACATTTCTAAAATCAGTAACAAACCACATGACCTTTATAATGATCTACACTATAAAATGACTACCATAAGCACAACCTTGAGAAACTTACCAATGAATCACCACTAACCACTTGTCAACACATTTGTATTAAATGCATGTGTTATCCAACACATAGTTAGATATTGTGATACCTAAAGTAGGAGATTTAATAATTATTATTGTTTTATTATTAGTAGTCACTTATTTTTACATGATAGGTACATAGTTTAATGTAGGTGATATGTTATTATGATACATAAAAACCTTGGCCTCTATTAGGAATCTTAGAGCCCACCAAAAGCAAAATCTGGCTCTAGGACACATTATAGCTTATCTCTTCAAAAATAAGTACAACCTTAGCTACCTTAAACTACCTAACCCAACCCTCGTACTTCACATATCATTCTTTCCACATTATTTATAGTAATATGCATTGACCAGCACAGCGTGGAAGAGAACAAGAAGTGGGAAAAGAAAGGGGAGCACTAGCTTAACCACTTCCTTAGTCATATCAATACTTGTAGGATGCATGAACTAATCAATTTGCTTAACTTGAGCTTAAAGTTGATGATCATAGTCGGCGATCAAATCAATAGTGGAAAGAGTTGTAGTGTCAATTTAAGGAGGATCACTCCCTGTCCCATGAGCAATTTTCTCTCATTCATAATTATTGTCACCACTGTTTTGAAAACCGGACCGGACCGGCCGGTTCAACCGTGAACCGGTCCGGTGGCCGGTCCGATCCAACTTCAAAACCGGCTCTGCATAGAACCGGATCAAACCGGATTGAACCGGCGGTTCAACCGGTGAACCGTTGAACCGGTCCGGGTTGGAAAGAACCGGCCGGTTTGTAAAAAATATTTTTTTTTTTGTTTTAATTAAAATTTTAAATATATATTTTAGTTTATTAAAATTTTTTAAACTTTTTAAAATATTTTTATTAAATATGATGAATAATTTCATCATAATTCATGCAAGATATCTTAAATATCTCACATAATTTGTTTTGCCAAAAGAGTGTACTTCTCACTTTATAAAGGGTTCAAGGAAGGATCTTCCACCTCCCCCTATGATGTGGGACTAAAAAAGTTGCATACTTGCATGAATACTTTAGAATGTGAATTTGGGCTTATTTGGGCTAGTTGGGCTTCAAATTTTTTCTTAGTTGGCTTTAAATTTTATTTATATATATATATATATATATATAGAGAGAGAGAGAGAGAGAGAGAGAGAGAGAGAGAGAAGTTGATAAGAAATATCTATTTATGTAAAAATTGGTATGGATATGTCAGCTACCTTCACCATCCAAGTAGTATTATTTTTTTTTTGGGTCGGGGGTAGTGGGGGGGTTGATTTAGGTCAATTAAGATATACTCACACGTACATCACATAAGTGAAAGTAAAAAAAAATCTCTTGATTGATATAAAGCTCCCAACCAATATAAAAAAATGAGTTGCGTACCATCCAAGTAGTATAGTTAGCTAATTGTTTAAAACGGATCTTAGACAATGTAAAAAAGTTTATAAGCTTGTAAGTCACAATTAATAACTTTGTTACTTGCAATTTTCTTCTCAAAATTCATTTCTGCAGCCATTAATATAACTTGAATCAAACTTTTCATGTATTGTATATTCCTTAGAATCCTTGGAAAAAAAAATTGTCAGAACATTATGATATATGTTTTAAATAAAAATACAAGTATTATGTAATATATTTAAAATATTGAACATTAATAAATATCATCGTTGCAATGTAAATATAATGAATGTCTAATAAACCAGCTGATTGTCTAATGATTTGATTGTATTAAAAAAAATAGCATTATCATAATACAAAATGTACCAGCTTCTCTCACCCTATCGCTTTCTGTGTGTTGTCTATGCAACTTCCCTCCTAACAAGCAGCTCCCTGATATTTCTTTCTAACTTCTCCAGCCAAGCTTACCTTCCTAGACGAGATGTATCAACCTCTCTTATGTCATTTTCCTCTCAGGAGACTCCATCTTCAATTTTTATAACATATTAATTCATTATATTCTGCATATATTAAAAAAAAAAAGAAAGAATGTAACGATAGATCAAGTCTTTTTCTGGAGAGTGCAGCATATGCAGATATGAAATAGTTCTGTAGCTATTTGAAGTCATCGTATATAAAGTCCCAAAATGACTTTTATATATACTTACTAATAGATGGAGAGAGAGAGGTAAAAGAGTAGAAAGGAAAATCGAAATAAAATTGAGATCAAGATCTACTGGCCAATGCAATCATCTCTGAATTGGTGAAAATTTTTTCTATATTGAGTCGTAGGTATAGCTGAAATCATCTTATGAATCTTGTAAAATTTATATTTCTGTTTTCTGGCGATGTTTTTGTTGCATTTTTTTTTATTACTTGCACTCAGTATACTCATGATTCGCCTTAATTGAGCTACCGAAGAAAATTTTGTTCAAGAAAAAAAAAATTTACGGACCTGGAAAAAGTGTGGCTTAATTATGGGGAAAATTTTTCACTCTGGTATACCCCACATTATATAAAAATGAGTTAATAATAAAAATAATGACATTTTTTGTCATATTATTTTAATAAATATGTAACTAGAAGTTCATATTTAGCTATATTTTTTAGACTAGTATTAGTTGTAATAAAAATCTCAGAAATTATGTATGAGTTTGTCAAATAAAGAAATATGCGAAGTAAGAATTTTGTTCAAGTGAAATGCATTAAGGATGAAGATTAAAATGTATTTTACTAGAAGAGGACATTCAACAATGTGAATGGAATATTTCGATAAGCTTTTCAAAGAATACTATGAGAAGACAATTGATTTTAGTAGTCTTATCAACTGAAAAGAAGAAAGAAAACTTTATTTTTTATCGTCATATTAGTAAAATCAAAGTTAGAGATGCTTAAAAAAAAAAGAAGTGAGTAAAAATTGTTGGGCCTAATGATATTCTAGAGGTGTGAAAATGCCTAGGAGATAAAGAAATTTCTTGGCTTATGAAACTTTTTAATATTATTTTAGAGACTAATTAAAATAGATGTCAGATGAGTGAAGGAGTATGTTGATTCTTATTTTTAAGAATAAAAATGATGCACAAGTGTACAAATTATAAATTAATTAAATTAATGTGTCATACTTTAAAATTATGGGAGAGTGTTATTGAACATAGGTTAAGACTTGATACTAATGCTTCTCTAAATCAATATGGATTCATGTTGAGTATGTCTATTATGGAAGCTATACATTTATTTAGGTTTGATGGAGAAGTATAGAGAAAATAAACAGGATGCATATATATGATATATATTAATATGGAGAAAGCACAGGTTAAAGTTTCAAGAGAAGTGCTATGGAAAGTTCTAGAAAATAAAGGAGTTTAAATAATGCTTATATTCAAGTCATTAAGGATATGTTTGCAATAGATGTTATTTGTGGAAAACACAAGGTGGTCTTATAAAGTATTTTCCTATTTCCAGGGGATTACATCAAGGATTAGATTCAAGTCCATATCTTTTTGCTTTAGTCATAAATGCTCTTACTAGACATTTGCAATAGGATATAACTTGGTTTATGTTATCTGCTAATGATATTCTTCTTTTTGACAAGACTAGAGAGGGAGTTGAATGAAAACTTGAATTTTAGAGGTCAACTTTAGAGTCTACAACAACAATATCAAGCCTTTATCCCACTGTGGGGTCGGCTACATGAATCATTTTTTTCTCTATTGTGTAATGTTAAGAGTTAAATTCTCATTTAAATCTAATAAAGAAATATCATTTCTAATATTTTATAACCAAGTTTTTTAGGTCTACCTCTACCTTTCTTAATATAAGTCAAATCTAATACCTCAACTTTTCAAACCGGGTCAATGGAAGGCCACCGTTTTATGCGACCAAACCATCTAAGACGACTCTCTCTAATATTATCTTCCACTAGAGCCTTATGGTTCATGATTCACAATAGGATCTACTTAATCAACATCTCTATTAACAAAAAACATCTATTATTAAAGAAGCTTAACTTATCTACCCTCACTTTATGATATTAAAATGACAGCTTTCCTCATATATTTTTTAAAAAATCTTGGTCGAAGAATTATTATATAGCCTTTTGGTAGCCACTTTTCATCAACATCATGTACCAGGGTACTTACTAAACCTAGTTATCTAATACTAAAAGAAAATAATCTAGAACCCTTAGCATTAGATTACATTCAAATCCATATGTTGAGCAAACGGCCATAGAGTGAGCTGGTTAATATGAAATTTGGAGAATGGAAAGAAAACATAATTTAATTAGTATGAACTAGACCAATATACAAAAAGAAGGAAAATAATGATGAAAAATCAAATCAAGATCTCATGATTAAGTTGCTTTGGGTTATCATGTACTCTGGTCTATTTAGTCGGGACCCATTTTGCTGAAGCATCTTTGTCTGCAGCTATAGATTGTTTTATTCAGAAGTATCTTATATGTTTAGGGTCGATATTTGTTTAAGGGGGTAATTTTAAGTCAATTTTGGCTAATAGAAAGTTTTGTGTCCTATCAAGTATATTATATAATTCATAACTCAATGGGAGATTAAAGCTATTAGGGAACATCTGAAATATGATAATGACTATGATTAACAGTGTCATTTTCGCAATGAAACCACCCGATCAAAAGGACCCAATCATAATTGTTATCTAGTTGTGTCATTTGGTGTAAATCTATATATTTAGAGGACACATGTCATTTATTTACTTATGTGAGATCTTTTGAGAGAATAATAACAATGTGCTCGATATGACATTTTTTTTGTGGATTTAGATTAATCTTAAATTAATCACCCTGTACAAATTAATGTAGAGAGTGAATGAATGTTTTTTTTAAGTTTAAAGTGACAGAATTTATTTGACTTCTATTTTATATTTTATATATTTTTTAATATTCATATTTCTATAAAAATTTGGCTCAAAATGAATAATGTTGAGCTTTGGGGGTATTTTAAAAAGTGAGCTTCCTCTGATTGGCATTGCCAATTAACATTACTCCAGCCTTAATGATGTGAAAGATCATACTTGAAATATGGAACTTGCAGCCGTACCTATAGGTTAGGGCAGTAAGTTCGAGTTTAAATTTAAAAATGAATTTGAATTTTAGAAATATTTGCAAGTCTTTAAAATTCTCACAAGCATCACAATGCATGATAAATTTAAGTTCAACTTTAAAACAAAAAAAAAAAATTCATGCAGCATTTTTAGACTTTATGTTAAAATGATTAGCACTTTTGTTAAAGCACATGCAAACAATTTGATTTTAGCAATTTAACTTGTATTTTGGATAATGTTGTTGACCTGTATTCGGTGAGACAACAAAAAAATCAAAATAAAATCTTACCTCCTCTGCCGAAGCACGTCGCACGACCTACTCCCACGTCGCACGTCGCTCCCACGATCGCCCACGACCTCTCCGCGTCTTTAAATATGGAGAGAAAATGAGGCCTTCGGCCTCTCCGATCGCTGGTTCCTTCTCTCGCAATCGTTCTCTCCCTCTCGACGACTTTCCCTTCCCATTGGTTCGGAAGCTTACGACGTACGATTTGATCGGACGAAACGACGGAAGCTCATCGCTCCTCGGCTCATGCGTGCTGTTCGAGTTCGCTCCTTCCACGTCTTTCTTCCAGCCGGATCGGAGGTCAACGTTTCAATCGGAAGCAATACGGGAGCTCGCCAACTGTGAACTTAACTTTCTCCCCTTCACGTCGCTCCTTTGGCTCCCCTCCAGTTGATTGACTTCGGCTCCTTCGCCGTTGATCGACGTCGCTCCAGCGACGGCTCTCCCTGCCTGTGGGATCAGAAGTCAGGGCATTTTGATCGGAGCCAAGCCAAGAACAGGAGCTCGCGGTAGTGAAGGTAACTTTCTCCCGTATCGCGCTCTTCTTCGGCCATACTTAGTGAACCCGACGAAACAGAGAGAGGAAAAGGAAGGATTTTAATTTATTTTAATTATTATCGTTAATTATTTTAGTTAGTATTTAATTATAATGGTAATTAATTTGTTAATTATGATTAATTTATAATTAATAATTAATAATTAATTATAATTATCTTATTAACTATAATTAATTTTGATTAATTATAGTTAATTATTAATTATAATTATAATTAATTTATTAGTTATAATTAATTAATAATTAGTCATTAATTACTAATTATTATTATAATTAATACTAATTACAATAAAAATATAAATAAATAAAATGCTCATGTGATTTGCCTGTCTCGGTATCCATGCCCTCCGCTGCCGATCCTGAAGGTAATCTAAACTCACTTCCATCCTCGACGTTCGTGTCAGGCCGGTAGACCACCTATGCACGCATTTGTTGAGCGTAGTAGGAGAGAATCCGGTCCAACACCTACGACGATGCAGACAGTAGCCTAAAATCTCTTCCTCTTTTATCTCGGCATTCGTGTCGGGCCGGTAGACCGCCTATACACGTTTTTCTTAACGTGGTGGGAAGGGAACCCGACACGACACCAATGACGAGATAAGCGAGTGACCCTCAGTTTCGAATCATGCTCTCGGCATATGCGACGAGCCGGCTAAATGCCTATACACGCTTTTCTTAGCGTGGTGGGAAGGGACTCCGGTGCGACGCATACGACGAGGCATGAGAGCCTGGTGCATGCTTTTATTAGCATGGCCAGGACAACTCCTAAGTACCCATACGCGGCTCTGTACCTGCGGGGAAACAACTGCTTTTTCTCTTGCAACAGGTACCGGTAGAAGACCCATACACGCTTTTCTTAGCGTGGTGGGGGCAAAGACTTTATACGGCCGCGGTGTTCTCGAAAGAGGGCATCTACCATACACGTTTTTCTTAGCGTGGTGGGAAAGACCCATTTTTTCGTAGTTTTCTCCTAAACGGGGGAGATGCCGGGAGGCTGTCGAAATTTCGGTTGAAATATTACTCTACTTGGACCTATTTTTGAACTCAAAAGAACAAGAACCTGGACTCAAATGAACAATGACTTGTGGACCAGCACCTGAACT